GATAATGCCTCTCCACGTTACCTTTCTTTGGCAGAGCGACGCTTGCTTTACAAATAAGGCAAATAACCTTTGAATGTGACATCACAACAAAAATATTCTTCCTCCCATTCTGGGTGGAAGTGGTATGTCTTTAGCTTTTTGCTCGGTCCCGCACTCATTTTGTTGTTTGTCTCTTGTTTGTCTCTTTAACTTAATTTGAGTTTTCCCGGCACTTGACTGATTTTGTATCGCTTTGCATTCTGGGTTAACAGACTGGAAAGCGATAGGTCGCTTTTTCTGTCAATCAAGTAAACTCCTGAATTAAGTGGCAGGGAGGCCAAGGGAGGAGGGATCAAAACCTGTTTTGTCTATTTTAACGGAGCTGGATTTTTTTTTAATGAATGACTCGCGATCTACCAGCATTGCCCCCCGGTCGACGTACTGGGCACCTCTGCCCTAAGGGCTGAACTTGACGGAACAAGTCTTTTTATGAGGCAGCGATTTCAGTGTGGACTACTTCCGCTTACCAACTGTGATTATTGTGAATTTGCAACCCATGTTCGCGCTGTAAAAGTGTACGTAAGAAGGCCAGATAAGAAAAGGAGTATGTCTGCAGTTTAACTTTTTTTGTTCAACAGTTTTGGTTTTTGTAGAGCTAAAAAGGAAAAGCATGTTGATCTGCATATAAAAAGGAAGCAAAAAGTACTTTGGTAACACTGATTGTAAAAAATACCAACCACAGTGTTCACACCAAGTACTTTTCCCACAAAGGTTCCTGAGAACTACGATTTAGTTGAGTTCACACTAAAAAGCCCCAGGAACTAAATTAGTTCCTGACAACCTTTTTTACCCCCTTTTTAGTTCCTGCTAGAGAGCAGGGACTTTCGTGGGAGAAAAAGGTTCCTGTGTCTGATTGGCTGGGCGGAATGCAAACCACGCCCCGTCAAACTCCCAAAAACTTTTGTGAAGCCGCCATTTATTTGCTCGCATTACAATCTCAGCGCAGCGCACCAACGAAGAGATTATTTTTGTGAAAGCAGCTATGGCAACACCAAATAAATCAGTGGAGCGGTGGAGTGATGATGATGTGTCGGCGCTTCTGGAGTTTTACTCGGAGGACGGGATCCAGAAGCTTCTACTGAAGGCAGTTTCCAACGCGAAAATGTACCAGTGTGTTTCGATAAAGTTAGCGGCCATGGGAATCGTCCACAGCGCTAAGTCATGCCGGGACAAAATAAAGAAGCTGTATTATTATTATATATATATATATGCCACTGTTATTAATACTGACACATAACTTTGCACTAAGGTGTGTCTGCTGCTGAGCCTACCTATTATTGTTATTATATATATATATATATTGCCACTGTTATATTGTTTTGATACTACTGACACTTATTGATCTGCTGCTGATAAATAAAAGAGAACCTACATGGCGATTAAACAGATCACGTATCTTGCTTATTTCTCCTCTGACACTTTATCTTTACAGTGACCTGTCTAGCATCCTATACATCACATGTAAGTGATTATTCCGATACCATCATGTTTCATCGCTTATAAACTGACGAAGCTTTATTTATTGTGTCCTACCACAAATATGTGGCTTTGAAAAAGATAATTTCATTGTATTTCAAAATGGCGTCCATCAACGCAAGCACTATTAATTTATAGAAAGAGAAATGGTTAAGTTTGTAATTACCAGTGTTGTGAGTTCAATATTTTTTATTAATTATAGTAAGGGAACATCTTACGGTACGTCCACACAGCAGCTTTAAACAAATCTTCCAACGCTTCTCTGCCCATTGACTTTGAATGGGGATGACGTCACTTTGCCTGGCTTTTCGCCGAACTGCATTGTGGGGGAGCGAAGCGAAGATTTCCAGGATTTTCAGGATTCAAAAGTTGAGCAATGTTTAACTTTTGAAGCTGAGCTGGAAGCGTCAGCCAATCAAATCCCGTTTATGCAAATCTGACAGTAGAAGCCCTAGCCAATCAAACCGCGTGTAAGCAGGGAGAACCAGACCGCAGTTCATTTCCTCATATTCCAAACGAGAAATTACGGTAGCAAATCACCCGGTTCTTTACGACCAGAACTATTAACGGGATACAAACCGGAGGAACCAGGCATGGAGGGAGGTGGCAGAGACAGTGGGTGAAACTGGTAGGTTTTCGCCTGTTTGGGGAGTTTATATATATATATATATTGCTCGCATAAAATCCCCGGGTTTTTTTGCTTTGTATGTCGGGGGCGGGAGATTCATGTGATTGGTTGTTGGTCACGTTGCGCGCAAAAAATCCCCAAGCTTTCAGACACGCCCAGCTCCAAGATTTTCGAAAAGCTGCTGTGTGGACGTACCGTTAGGAGTTAGTGTACTGAGTTCCTCTCAGGAGGATATATAATAAAGGTGTGTTAACTGATGAGCCTATTTACTGTGCATACGACACACCTGGCAGTTTGTTATTATATTGCCACTGATACTGACACATAACTTTACACTAAGGTATGTCTGCTGCTGAGCCTAACTTTAAGTTGTTTGCGGCCTGCCAGTAAACTCAAAGCAGAAGAAGAAGTGACGTCAGCGGCTTAATTTACCTAATCCTCCCCCAGGAACTAATTTCGATGTGAACGCGATCTTTTAGTTCTAGAGAACTAAAAGAGTTCTCTCGAACTAAGTTCTCAGGAACCTTTGTGGGAAAAGTACTTGGTGTGAACGCGCCTCATGTAGATGGGTGAGGTTAGGCGTAGCTGATGAAAATGGGGGCAAAATTATCTAACATATAACCAGTGCTGGACACCTGCTAAGTTCACTGAAACACTGTACTTAAGTACAGACCCCCCCGTGGCCACGTATTAATAATGCGTGGCCACGAATTAGTTATTATGTTCCCACGCATTAGTAATTCGTGGGAACACAATAATTATTACGCAATAACTAAATCCAGATAGTCTATAGAAACTGATGACTGATGCGGCTTTCACACCAGCGCTTTTCCCTTTCTAGCTCCGAGCGGGAGCTTTTCTGGTTCAGCTCCGGTTTCCCTTTTCTGCTCCCGCTCTGTTCACACCGCCCAGAGCTGCCGCTGTTGCGTCATGACGTCACCGTTTACGTGCCTGCTTCATAAAATCCAAACCGCGCGGAAATCCCTCACATCGACATTGATTGTATTGAAGCGCTGTTCGCTTTGGTTATCCTCTTACGAAACGAAATGGAAGGCATCGGACGACTTTACAAGCGACGACTTTACTTGGAACTTTACAAACATCACATGCGAAATGCAAGACTTCTTTGTGGTCTTCAGCATCTACTTCAACGACGAATCTGCCCCTGCCCCCGCCTCGACGTAAGAGAGACGTAAGCGCCGCCGCCTCTTAGCTCCGAAGCTCTTGCCTCTCTAGACCGACAATTTTTTGGAGCTGGAAGTGAACCGGATTCCGGAGCTAAGAGGCGGCGCCTCTGCGGTGTGAACAGGAAAAACCGGTGCTTTTCAGGCTCCAGCTTCGAGCCGGAGCTGAAAACGCGTTGGTGTGAAAGGGGCATGAGTGACTGACAACACTACAGATGTAGCACCTCATTTCAGACAGTTTGAAACGCGAGGGCCGTGCCGGCGGGGTCTGTCCTTGCTCAAAGGAAAACCTCCAGCGTGACTTGAGACCGCCCCCTTGATAAATGTAATTATAATGAAGCCAGCTGCAATGGATCATGGACTCTGATATAGTACAGTAGATTTATGTCTGGTAGGCTACTACTGTATGGCGGATTTTTGTTAAGATCCATATGTCACGGATAGGATCATACTATGTGCTAAATAAGAGACATGTAATCATTTAGGCTACAAAACATCATCATGTTTTTATTTAACAAAATAATGTTGGTTAGTCCACAACTACTGTACAAAAATCATCAGGAAGCCCGCCGGCTCCAAAAACGAACGGGAGGAAATGCTCTCGATTTTTTATTCTAATTTAAATCATCATCTTCACCACGATCATTTATGTTTATGTTCGCCGAATTTACATGAAAGCACTGACAAATATGAATATACTGTAGTCAACTTCATTAAAACGTTATTAACGTGCCTAAACTCAGTAATTCACTAAAAATATGTATATTTTAATGGAGCCTCGTCAGGCAGATCAGGGTCCGACGCGTAGCGGAGGGATCTTGAGTTTCCTCATTACAGAGATCAATAATTATTGTGTGGCAACGCATTACTAATTCGTGGGAACATAATAACTAATTCGTGGCCACGCATTATTAATACGTGGCCACGTATTCATATGTTTCTCACCAATGTCACCACCCCCTATACAAATATGAATACGTGGCTCCGTACTAATGTATAATATGTTCAGGTACTTTTATTTTACTTAGACATTTCCATTTCCTGCTAAATATAAAAAAAAGAAAAAATGTATATATTTGTTCATGTCCTGCTTCTTTTTGCTTTGCCCTCACTACAGTAAAGAGGGCTGAGTTTAAACTTTTTACTTTCTTACTTAACTTTTTTGAAAACTAGCTTCTTAAAAAAAAATCAGGATCAGATCCATTATACAAGATATAACAATGAAACTAACGTATCATTAATTGTTATGGGTTAAGAAAAACGTTAATTGAAAAAAGTATTCCTTTACCAGCTGCAACATAAAGGTTCATGGTTCTTTATTGTCAAACTAACTAAAATCTTAGGTCACAGGCTTCTCCAACAATGCAACACAATAATACAAAACCCGATTGACACATTAATGCATCAAACTTTTAAATATAATATATAAATGTTGTGAAATGGGACGTCTACTTGGAACTTATACTGTTGTACTTTAAATAAGTTCATTTTTTGAAAGCAGAACTTTTACATGTAAAAAAGTTATTCGAAACTGGTTTGACCACTTTTACTCAAGTGAAGGAATTCGGTGAACTTTTTCACCTCTGCAAGTTTGGAAGAGAGGATGATGAATACAAATAGGTGTTCATATCAATTTAATGGTTGTTGCTTTGGAGTGCACACAGTATCCTTACCTGAACCATGGTCATGACATGGCAGGGGTTCAGCAGGTAGATCACAGTCTTGGTCGCGAATTTGAACCCAACCTCCACTCCAAAAGTCATGCAAAGAGCCACCAGCAACAAGTTCTTGCCCAGACTGTCCTCTTTCGCGCAGTCTTTTCCCACCACTCGGTGCTCTTTGGAGAGGTTTATTTTCTTTAGCGCCACGCACACCTCTATTAAAGAGATGAGGACGATGACCAGACTTTCACTGATGCGCTGCTGGGGCGCGAGGAAGGCGGCACAGTCCGGGCCCCCGTTGCCCTCAAACTTCGGGTCCACCCCGCCATAGAGCCAGTCCAACAGGCTGTATATGTTATATCTGGACATATTCCTCTTCTCGTAGTGAAACAGATACGAACAAGATGGAATAAAAGACGTCACACTGACTTCTTGGCGAAACATGAACTGCAAAATGTCCCTTTCGTGTCTTGTCTCGTGGTTGAGGGGTAGACATGTATCCACCGCCTCGGTGTGTGTTAGAGCTAGCTCAAACACCCGACTACCTCATCCACACACAGATGAGGAACTTCGGCTAGCAGGAGGAGGAGGCGGCTTTGGTAAAACCCGTCCCTGCTGCTGGTACCGGGTAGTGGCAATTATTCCACGTCCCTCACACAATTGCTAGCTGACCCGGGCAAGTAATTTGGCTTGGGCATGGTATGCAACAAGCTAGCATGCCGACTACGTGCTGTCAAACTATACGGCAGTTTGTAGGAGGTTGAGTTAGCAACAAGGTTGAGTTAGCAACAACACTGACACCGGATAGCTTAGCTTTAGCAACCAATCTTACCCTGCTGAAATGAAGCATGGGTTTTCTGAATGCCCAGAGTTTAGCCTCTCAGGCTGCGGAACACAAATCTCATTAGTTCACAGCCAAAGTGCTGAATTAAGCAATCCTTCTTTAGTGTGAAATTAATAGTAGCAGAAACCGGGGCAAATGTATACGTAAATTAACTAGAGAGGTCAATTTTGCGACCTAGCTGATTGGTGTTAATCATAATTGTAATATTACAATCATGTTGCACTCAATGCAATACAAATGCTGACTGTACAAGTAAGATATACATCGAAAACATCACTGCTGGTATTTACAAATGTTATCGAATGTTGAAGTGAAATTAAATTATGGTAGATTTATCTTTTTCTTACTTCACTATCCCAGCTAACACATGGTTTACTCCACCTGGAAGGCAAATCTGAGGGCTTCAACTCAAAGCTCTGTAACCAAGGAGGAAACTGGAGGAAACCCAACACATGTGATGGTGCGTTCATGAACAATCTGGAAACAACAATATTATTGTTGCATTTGAGAAACAAAGTCCAGGTAAATGCAGACAGAGTAATGTTTCTGTTTTAAACCTCTATTTCTCAGATAGCGGCTACTTTGCCAACGGAATATTACTTATTTCACCACACGTTGGGGATAATGACAATCTTTAAAGGAACAATTATTTGTCAATGGGTTTCCTTCTCTACAGGGAAACGTAAAGTATTTCAATACCATGCTATGCATAAAACAGATTCTCACATGGGTTTCTTGAGACTGATTATCAGCTAGAGAAATTCTGTTGAAAGATTTTCATCCCGTATATTATGTAGTTGAACAGACATGAGCAAAGTTACACAAAGTGTATAGTAATAGGCTACTACACAGCCACTACACACGGCGGTACAATTACATATTCGTATGTATTCAATTCCTGCATTTTAAACACCTATCATAGTTTTTCAGCAATAATATGATTTTAGACTATTAAAAACATATTCTTTACTTTACTGTATATCTCCATAACTCTTTTTATTTATAAATATTGAAGCATAATGCCTACATGTTTATGGTTCTGAATGAATGTCAAGATTATAAGTGGCAACTGTATTTTTAAGTTGTGAATGATACACTGTAATTTTTACCATTAATGATTAGCCCAGACTTAACTATCCATACCCACTGCAACATAATGACAAGGTGTCACTTCAAATGAGGAGGGCTCTCAGCAGGTAATTAGAGGACTAATAACTCTGGAACACGTCCATTACTGTTAGAGGAAAACAGCAGGGCTCTTTTGACCAATAATATGTTGTTTAATCTTTTCAACTGTCCTCACAAATGTACCACACCAAAAAATACCTGAAAGTTATCACATCACATGTATACTCCTAATAGGGACAAAAACGATCCACCCTAGGAAGGTCGCATTACTTGGATTATGATGGGACCTACATGTTTGTCTTTGAAATCACTTCATTAAGTTTGAGGAACAGCAACGTCTGATTGAATTGAACTACAGAATACAGAACTTGCGTCCACAGAGAACTCATTTGTAAGCCAGTTTCCTTCATGCTCATTTGGCATTGTGTTGCCATCATAGCAGGAGGCAGTGACGTATTCTCCACACTAATTGGTTTGGGATATTCTTCAATGTGGCAAATACTTTTTTCCAACAAGCCAGGGGAAATGGAGTGGAATGGATGTGGTTGCAGGGAATGAACTGACATGGAGAGAAGAGGAGAATAGGAAAAAGCTTTGGGATGCATCTAATGTCTCCCACGGTGCTCGCTTTGGTTGGCCGACGCTTGTTTTTTTAAACAACCACACGCTGACATAATTCCATTAGTGCACGGATGTGTGTGGCACTCAGAGTGTTTGAAAGCAGGTCCAGCAAATCACTGTGTTGAGGTGTTGTAATTGTGGCTAAAACTGCTTTACTATGCAGAGATATGGGAATACATGGCATCCTGGTTTGGTGGGAAAGAGATTGAAACAGAGACTGAGTGTGTAATGCAATTCTAGTCTTACATATAATTGCATGAATAAGATGAGTTTTATACCAAAATATTATTTCTTAATGACATAAATGACTGATGAATGCACAAAAATTATTCACTAGGAGGGAAAGTGGTGAGTTAAAAATTCATATATATATAGATGAATAAATAAAATGCAGGAGAAGAAATTAAACTATCGTAGTAGACACTAATAGAAAAACATCATTGGAATATTACCCTTTTCGAGGTTCATGCAGCTTATATTAACAGTGGTTTCTATTTCAGACAGTGTTTTACCATAGATCTATTATCCATGACTTGATCTGACCAATCATTTGACCATTCCAGTCATTTCTGAGTTTCATATTTGCAGAAAAGCGATTTTAAAGATATTAAATTAAGACAATTAACCACTGAATAGGGTGATGCAGGCCTCCATTCAGGAGCTAAAGGGCCCTGATATCATTCCATAAGGAAACCGTCTCATCAGCAAACTCTTTCATGACTTTCTGCCAAGAAAAATAAAATGGACCCCATTTCAACATTGTTAAAAGGGTAATATGGTCTGTTCAGTCCCATAAGGGAAAAGAATGACTCGGTTTATAATCCAATGAGGGCTATAAAGTCCTGGCTTCAGGCTGTGGAGAGTATAGCAGAAAGGAAGGCTAAAGATCAACCGGCTTCCAAGCACTTGATCCTCAGGGATAAAGAGAGAGGCGGGCTCTCCTGGCTCAAGATACTGAACCCAGGAAAAACCGTCAGACAGAGGAAACTCGGGGAATTCAAGACCCTTTAGGTGTGGTGTAAAACGTCTAATTAGTTGAAAGATTGAGAAAGAACAGCTGGGCCGGGAGGAAAAACTCTGATACACAAGATACCTGTGTGTTTGGTTCAAGGCTATTGTATTTCAACCTTTACGTGTCATTTTCCAACATTTTTTCCAACTAGGCCTATCTATAATGAAGACGGATCGTCCTTGATAAAAGTTTGAAGCTCTTACAGAGCTGCACGTTGGATTCCAAGCCGACCCAAACATTAGGATTCAAGGCTGCTTTGACTCTCCACACTGCAGAGATGACGAGCCAAGTGTTGCCACAACCCCTTGTTCAAATATGAAATGGATTATATCAGCGGCAAAAACACACGAGGACAGATGCACAGAAGCCTGTATCACACTTGTCAGCACTGTCTGTAACGTCTGCACTTGCTGTTCTGCACACAAGACTATTGGAATGAAACCAAACAACAAACAAACATCATTACAAAATGCATTTTCATTTTGAATTTGATTGGTACTGAATTACAATTTTTAACCATTTTCAAAAAGAACAAGCTTTTTCTTAGTGTTGGTAGTGTCACCAGGGGGCGATATTACCATTTTTCCTCCCTATGTGGGTTTCAGCATCTTCTATTAGAGACTTTTTGGATGATATTTGAAAAAGCTAATAAATATTAAACCAGTATGAATCTTGACTTTTTTAAATAAAGAGAAATGCTAGGTTCTAGCTTTGTAGCTGTTCAATGTGCAATATTATTAAGGATTGCAATCATAATTTTAATGTCATAGTATAATTTGTTCATCATTTAAATAAATAAAATAAATCTTAATGTTTACGCTGATTTAGTTTGTTTTGCCTCAATTTATTTCAATATACTTTTAACTGCTTTCATTGTTTTTCTTTAGTTCTGTTTATTAAATATTGATTCATATAAGTGTATTGTGTGGACTGCTGGAGGATTAGATCTGCTACAGGGGAAACTCCACATGGGGGCTCCAAATAAAAACAAATACATAAACAAACAAATGTTTGAAGCAGTGCGTATTGTTTACATTTTCACCATTTAAATAGTGCTAATATTCAAATTCCTAAGTGTATAAAAAAAACAGTCTCTATTCAACAAAGTCTGTTGCAATAAAAATGAAGAGCTATTTTTATAAAACAGATAAGGACAGCAGGGCCTGAGGAGATGGCATCTAAATGGACAACAAATAAAGTATCTTGTGGGTCTAGAAGGTTTATGTTTGTCAGGATGGTGCGAAAATCAATGGCCTCCTGAGGGGGCGGCTGTGCTATGATAGGCCTACTCCTCTCCTCACCGCAGAGCAGGAATCAGTCAAGGATATTAATCTAAACATCAGTCATGCATGGGGAACACCCCACAAGGAGAATAAGCCTGCTCATCCATGCATCTCCACAGGGAAAATGGGGGTGGGCTTTGAGGGAGGGAGTTGAATGGGCAAGTATGTCATGGTATCATCTCAGGATATGTGGGCTGACTTCGGGCACACAAACGATAAAACCCAAACTGAAGAGGTTGGCACCATCAACATTTGTGTATAGCTCAGTGGACCACATTATAGCATGTGAAACAAAAACAGAGCTGAAAATCTTCTCGGAGGTATATGCTAATGTGATTCATCACAGGGCAATCTAATCCTCCAGCCGTTCCAATAAGCCACACAAGTACCTGAAATACATTAAAATGCAAGACCATGTCCTTACTACTAAAAATATGCAGTGTTTCATATTCCCTCACTACATTTATAAAGATGTCTCATCTACCGGGTTGTCTTCCCAAGGACAGATGTTGGATTGCTCCTCCATGAGGGAAGCACACTGACTGCGGGGCATCTTGAGCTTTCCACTCCACAACTAATCTAATGTCCGCGACTGTCCTCAGCTACAGAAACACGCCAACACAGTCAATCTAAAGGCACTAATCGATGCCATGACCCAAGCTGAATTCAAAATGAACTCTTGGAGATACAGTCGAGGCAGATTTTAAATAAATTCCATATTCAGCAAAACTGCTAACGGATAACTCGATGGTACATTTATTGAGAAAGTGTTGAATAATTGTAGAATTTGTTGTTGTGTCATATCTCACAGTTTTGTTGTATACAGACATTACAAACACACCAATGTGATGTCCCACTGAATCATAACACGTCAAGCAACCATATTTGGGTATGCGTGTCTCCCCCTCATTAGAGGCAAGATTAAACTTTACCCCATATTAAGTTTTCATGGGGTC